AATTCTGTGTCCCTCAGTAACAAATTCTGTGTCTGTCACCTGGAGTAAACAATTTCTGTGTCTGTTCCCTGAGTAACAATTCTGTGTCCTCCTCAGTATACAATTCTGTGTCCCTGAGTAACCAATTCTGTGTCCCTCTAAGTAACAATTCAGATGTCTGTCCCTCTAAGTACAATTCTGTGTTCCCTCTAAGTAACAATTCTGTCGGTCCCTGAGTAAACAATTCTGTGTGCCCTAAGTAAACGTTGATGTGGCCCTAAGTAACGACGTTCTGTGGCCCTCAGTAACAAATCTGTGTCCCTCTCGGAGTAACAGATTCCTGTAGCACCTAAGTCTGTGCCCACAGTTAACTATTTCAGTGTCTCGGTGGCCCTAAAGTAACAATTTCTGTGGCCTAAAGTAATCGTTTCTGTGGCCCTCAGCTAACAATTCTAGTTCCCTGAGTCGATTCTGTATCCCTTAGTAAACTTTTCTGTGGGCCCTAAGTAACGTTTCTGTAGCCTATGTAACCCATCTAGTGTAACGTTTCTGTGGCCCTCTAAGTAACGTTTCTGTGTTCCCTAAGTAACAATTCTGTATTCCCTCTGAGTAACAATTCCTGTGTCTGTCCTCAGTAGAACAATTCTGTGTCCCTCAGTAACAATTCTGTCTGTACCGGAGTAACAATTCTGTGTCTGTCGCTGGAGTAATAATTCTGTGTCCTGTCCTCAGTAACAATTCTGTGTCTGTAACCCTGTAGTAAGTAAAATTCTGTGTCTGTCGTTACTGAGTACACACTTCTGTGCTACCTCAGTAACAATTCTGTGGTCCCTCAGTAACAATTTTGTGTCCTGTACCTGAGTAACAATTCTGTGTCCCTCTCAGAGTTAACTATTCTGTGTCCCTCGAGTAACAATTCTGTGTCCCTCTGTAACAATTCTGTTCTGTCCCTGAAGTAACAATTCTGTGTTCCTTACAAGGTAACGTTTCTGTAGGCCCTAAGTAACAAATCTGTGTCCCTAAGTAACGTTTCTGTGGCCCTAAGTAAAGTTTCTGTGGCCCTAAGTAACGATTCTGTGGCCCTAAGTAACGTTTCTGTAGCCCTAAGTAACGTTTCTGTGGCCCTAAGTAACGTTTCTGTGGCCCTAAGTAACAATTCTGTATCCCTCAGTAACAATTCTGTGTCTGTCCCTCAGTAACAATTCTGTGTCCCTCAGTAACAATTCTGTGTCTGTCCCTGAGTAACAATTCTGTGTCCCTAAGTAACATTTCTGTGGCCCTAAGTAACGGTTCTGTGGCCCTCAGTAACAAATCTGTGTCCCTCAGTAACAATTCTGTGTCTGTCCCTAAGTAACAATTCTGTGGCCCTAAGTAACGTTTCTGTGGCCCTAAGTAACGTTTCTGTGGCCCTAAGTAACGATTCTGTGTCCCTCAGTAACAATTCTGTGTCTGTCCCTAAGTAACAATTCTGTGTCTGTCCCTGAGTAACAATTCTGTGTCCCTAAGTAACGTTTTCTGTGGCCCTAAGTAACAGTTCTGTGGCCCTCAGTAACAATTCTGTGTCCCTCAGTAACAATTCTGTGTCTGTCCCTAAGTAACAATTCTGTGGCCCTAAGTAACGTTTCTGTGGCCCTAAGTAACAGTTCTGTGGCCCTCAGTAACAATTCTGTGTCCCTCAGTAACAATTCTGTGTCTGTCCCTAAGTAACAATTCTGTGGCCCTAAGTAACGTTTCTGTGGCCCTAAGTAACGTTTCTGTGGCCCTAAGTAACGATTCTGTGGCCCTAAGTAACGTTTCTGTGTCCCTAAGTAACATTTCTGTGTCCCTAAGTAAAGTTTCTGTGGCTCTAAGTAACGTTTCTATGTCCCTAAGTAACGTTTCTGTGGCCCTAAGTAACGTTTCTGTGTCCCTAACTAACGTTTCTATGTCCCTAAGTACCGTTTCTGTGTCCCTAACTCTCTCCCTGAATACAGCCAGGTCTGCCTCTGTTGAATGACTGGAGGCAAATGGAGAATTCTAAAATGGCCGCCATTTATAGCTCGACCATTACACAGTGCTGGCTGGCTGGCTGCTGATTGGCTAATGCGATCACATGTCATGAATGAATGCATTATGGGTCAGCGCGCCTTGTCTGCGCGCCTTCCCAGACATCCCCGCTCCGTCGCCGCACATGTCGCCGCCATTTTAGGAAAAATTTCTAATATTCGAAGCGAATTCCACTTCGCCTACTTCGATTCGCTCATCTCTAGTGAATAGCTCTACACCGAGTTCACTATATGAACCACTGATGTATTTATACATGTTGATCATATCCCCCTTAATCTCCTCTTCTCAAGAGAGAATAAATTCAGTTACTCTAATCTTTCCTCATAGCTGAGCTCATCCCTGCCTCTTATCAGTTTGGTTGCCCTTCTCTGTACTTTCTCCAGTTCCCCAATGTTCTTTTTGTGAATTGGTGTCCAAAACTGAATTGCATATTCCAGATCGCAGCTTGGTATTGCATGCCATTATTAAGCTTGTGATCTACCAGAACTCCCAGATCCTTCTCCACCATTGATTCCCCCAGTTGTACTCCCCCTAGTATGTATGATGCATGCATATTCTTAGCCCCCAAGTGCATAACCTTACATTTATCTACATTAAACCTCATTTGCCACATAGTTGCCCAATTAAACGGTACATTGAGGTCAGCTTGTAAATTGAAGACATCCTGTAAGGACGCTATTCCACTGCACAGCTTGGTGTCATCTGCAAAGACTGAAATGGTATTTTTAATCCCAGATCCTATATTGTTTGTAAATATATTAAAAAGTAAGGGTCCCAATACTGAACCTTGGGGTACACCACTGACAACCCTAGACCATTCAGAGTATGAATCAATAACCACTACTCTTTGACCTGTAGACTTTACCTTACACATTAGCCATGTGTGGGGAACTGTGTCAAACGCTTTTGCAAAATCCAAGTATACCACGTCTACTGCCACCCCTCTGTCCAAGGTTTTGCTCACCTCCTCATAAAAAGAAATCAGATTTGTTTGACAACTTCTGTCTTTCATGAATCCATGCTGTTTGTTGTGTAAAATATTTTTTTCTAGCAAGAACTCATCTATGTGGTCTTTTATTAAACTCTCCAGTATCTTCCCAACTATAGAAGTTAAACTAATAGGTATATAATTACTTGGTAAAGATTTTGACCCCTTTTTAAATATTGGCACCACATTGGCCTTACGCCAATCCAGTGGTACTATGCCAGTCATTAAAGAGTCTCTAAAAATTAGAAACAATGGCTTTGAAATGACAGAGCTCAATTCTTTAAGAACCCGTGGGTGTATGCCATTCTTTCCAGGTGCTTTATTCACCTTTATTCTGTCTAAATATTTTTTGATCATAACAATTGTGAGCCAATGTGGATCATCTGGAGTTGTGTCAATACCATGCCCATTATCGGCAAGAGCTCCCCCATGCTCCTTTGTATACAGAGAGCTGAAGAAGGTATTTAATAAATTTGCCTTCTCTTTGTCCCCAGTCAACCACTCTAGATTATTTTGTAAAGGGCCTACATGCTAGGACTGGACCTTTTTACTATTAATATATTTGAAGAATTTTTGGGGGTTTGTCCTGCTATCTTTTGCAATATGTCGTTCGTTTTCAATTTTTTCGGCCTTTATTTCCATTTTGCATATTCTGTTATATTCTTTGTAATGTTTAAACGATGATAGCGTTCCCTAATTTTTATATTTAATAAAATCTCTTTTCTTATTGTCTATAGCTTTTTTAACGTTGGCCATAAGCCACATAGGTTTGATTTTTAACCTTTTAAACTTGTTGCCCATAGAAATATATTTTGCAGTGTGTTCACATACAGTCTTTTTGAAGAACTCCCATTTCTGTGTTGTGATCATTGATGCCAATGTTCGCTTCCAGTCAAAGTCTTGGAGAGCAGCTCTCAGCCTTGGAATATTAACTCTCTTAAAATTGAGCGTTTTAATTTTTCCCGTATGTGCTTGCTGTTTACAGCTAACAATAAATTAAATCATGTTATGGTCACTGCTACCCATGTCAGGGCTCCCAGGTGTGAGCAGAGGTGTGTGGCTGACGCAGGGAAACGCAGACCTCAGATATGTTATAAACAATATAATTTATTAACACTAACAATACAAACATAAACGCAGTGCAATACTAAAACATAATACAGTGCAACCAAACCAAACCAACCACCCACAGATAACAGTACATACAAGCAAGCGTCGTCAGGCAGGCCGGGTCAATATCAATAGGGCAGGTAGGTACAGGGGGAGCAAGCGGAGATTGGTCGGGGTCACAGGCCAGGTTCAGCAGGTAGCAAGCAGCGTAGTACAGAGGGTCAGGCAGAGGGATGGTCAGGGTCACAAGCCAGGGATCAGAACAGGTAGCAAGCAGTGTGGTACAGAGGGTCAGGCAGAGGGATGGTCAGGAGCGAGCCGGGATCAGAGCAGGAGAAGTCAGCAGCGGTTCAGAAACAGGATACAGGACAGAAACAGGATACAGGGCCCAGGACAAACACAACACCAAGGCAGAGTCTGTGGGTCTGGCCATCCCTTAAATACCCCAGCATAATCAGTTCCAGGTGTTAGCTGGCTGCAAAGTTGAGTCTCTGATTGCTGGGAGCATCCGCTGGCCAGCCCTGGTACTGCAGATCAAAAGGCAGGTGAGTCCCACCATTGCTGGCCAGTCCATTCCTGACAGTACCCCCCCCTCAAGGAGCGGCCTCAGGACGCTCCAAACAGTCCTAGCTGGGAAAAATGTTCCACCGCCCGGGTCTGGTAACTGGCGGGATATCAAAGACTGGCACACCGGGCAGGACTCCGGGCAGCGGTACACCGGGCAGAGGCACATCGGGCTGGACTCCGGGCAGAGGCACACCGGGCAGAGGCACATCGGCTGGACTCCGGGCAGAGGCACACCGGGCTGGACTCCGGGCAGAGGCACACCGGGCAGAGGCACATCGGGCTGGACTCCGGGCAGAGGCACATCGGGCTGGACTCCGGGCAGAGGCACATCGGGCTGGACTCCGGGCAGAGGCACATCGGGCTGGACTCCGGGCAGAGGCACATCGGGCTGGACTCCGGGCAGAGGCACATCGGGCTGGACTCCGGGCAGAGGCACACCGGGCTGGACTCCGGGCAGAGGCACACCGGGCTGGACTCCGGGCAGAGGCACACCGGGCTGGACTCCGGGCAGAGGCACACCGGGCTGGACTCCGGGCAGAGGCACACCTTGCTGGACTCCGGGCAGAGGCACACCGGGCTGGACTCTGGGCAGAGGCACATCGGGCTACCAGGAGAAGCAGCAGGCAGCGGGCCACCAGGCGGAGTGGCAGGCACCGGGCCCCCGGGCGGAGCGGCAGGCACCAGGCCCCCGGGCAGGGCGGCAGGCACCGGGCCCCCGGGCGGGGCGACAGGCACCGGGCCCCCGGGCGGGGCGACAGGCATCGGGCCCCCCGGGCGGGGCGACAGGCCTCGGGCCCCCAGGCGGGGCGACAGGCCTCGGGCCCCCAGGCGGAGCGGCGGGCGCCGGACCCCCAGGCGGAACTACAGGTCTCGGGCCCTCAGGCGGAGCGGCGGGCGCCGGACCCCCAGATGGAGTGACAGGTCTCGAGCCCTCAGGCGGAGCGGCGGGCGCCGGACCCCCAGATGGAGCGACAGGTCTCGGGCCCTCAGGCGGAGAGGCAGGCGCCGGACCCCCAGATGGAGCGACAGGTCTCGGGCCCTCAGGCGGAGCGGCGGGCGCCGGACCCCCAGATGAAGCGACAGGTCTCGGGCCCTCAGGCGGAGCGGCGGGGCGCCGGACCCCCAGATAGAGCGACAGGTCTCGGGCCCTCAGGCGGAGCGGCGGGCGCCGGACCCCCAGATGGAGCAACAGGTCTCGGGCCCTCAGGCGGAGAGGCCGGGGCGCCAGACCCCCAGATGGAGCGACAGGTCTAGGGCCCTCAGGCGGAGCGGCAGGCGCCGGACCCCCAGATAGAGCGACAGGTCTCTCGGGGCCCTCAGGCGGAGCGGCGGGCGCCGGACCCCCAGATGGAGCGACAGGTCTCGGGCCCTCAGGCGGAGAGGCGGGCGCCGGACCCCCAGATGGAGCGACAGGTCTAGGGCCCTCAGGCGGAGCGGCAGGCGCCGGACCCCCAGATAGAGCGACAGGTCTCGGGCCCTCAGGCGGAGCGGCGGGCGCCGGACCCCCAGATGGAGCGACAGGTCTCGGGCCCTCAGGCGGAGCGGCAGGCGCCGGACCCCCAGATAGAGCGACAGGTCTCGGGCCCTCAGGCGGACAGGTCTCTGGCCCTCAGGCGGAGCGGCGGGCGCCGGACCCCCAGATGGAGCGACAGGCATCGGACCCCCCAGGCGGAGCGACAGGCATCGGACCCCCAGGCGGAGCGACAGGCCTCGGGCCCCCAGGCGGGGCGACAGGCATCGGGCTCCCAGGCGGGGCGACAGGCATCGGACCCCCAGGCGGAGCGACAGGCCTCGGGCCCCCAGGCGGGGCGACAGGCATCGGGCTCCCAGGCGGGGCGACAGGCATCGGGCCCCCAGGCGGGGCGACAGGCATCGGGCCCCCAGGCGGGGCGACAGGCATCGGGCCCCCAGGCAGAGCGACAGGCATCGGACCCCCAGGCGGAGCGACAGGCCTCGGGCCCCCAGGCGGGGCGACAGGCATCGGGCTCCCAGGCGGGGCGACAGGCATCGGGCCCCCAGGCGGGGCGACAGGCATCGGGCCCCCAAGCGGGGTGACAGGCATCGGGCCCCCAGGCGGGGCGACAGGCATCGGGCCCCCAGGCGGAGCGGCGGGCGCCGGACCCCCAGGCGGGGCTACAGGTCTCGGGCCCTCAGGCGGAGCGGCGGGCGCCGGACCCCCAGATGGAGCGACAGGCATCGGACCCCCAGGCGGAGCGACAGGCCTCGGGCCCCCAGGCGGGGGCGACAGGCATCGGGCTCCCAGGCGGGGCGACAGGCATCGGGCCCCCAGGCGGGGCGACAGGCATCGGGCCCCCAGGCGGGGCGACAGGCATCGGGCCCCCAGGCAGAGCGACAGGCATCGGACCCCCAGGCGGAGCGACAGGCCTCGGGCCCCCAGGCGGGGCGACAGGCATCGGGCTCCCAGGCGGGGCGACAGGCATCGGGCCCCCAGGCGGGGCGACAGGCATCGGGCCCCCAAGCGGGGTGACAGGCATCGGGTGACAGGCATCGGGCCCCCAGGCGGGGCGACAGGCATCGGGCCCCCAGGCGGAGCGGCGGGCGCCGGACCCCCAGGCGGGGCTACAGGTCTCGGGCCCTCAGGCGGAGCGGCGGGCGCCGGACCCCCAGATGGAGCGACAGGTCTCAGGCCCTCAGGCGGAGCGGCGGGCGCCGGACCCCCAGATGGAGCGACAGGTCTCGGGCCCTCAGGCGGAGAGCAACAGGTCTCGGGCCCCCAGGCAAGCGAAGCGGCGGGCACCGAGTCACCAGGCACGACAGTGGGCACCGAGTCGTCTGGCAAGACTGCGGGCACCGAGTCAACTGGCGGAACAGCGGGCATCGAGTCAACTGGCGGAACTGCGGGCACCGAGTCGTCTGGCAAGACTGCGGGCACCGAGTCGTCTGGCAAGACTGCGGGCACCGAGTCGTCTGGCAAGACTGCGGGCACCGAGTCAACTGGCGGAACAGCGGGCATCGAGTCAACTGGCAGAACAGCGGGCATCGAGTCAACTGGCGGGACTGCGGGCACCGAGTCGTCTGGCAAGACTGCGGGCACCGAGTCAACTGGCGGAACAGCGGGCATTGAGTCAACTGGCGGAACAGCGGGCATCGAGTCAACTGGTGGGACTGCGGGCACCGAGTCGTCTGGCAAGACTGCGGGCACCGAGTCGTGTGGCAAGACTGCGGGCACCGAGTCGTCTGGCAAGACTGCGGGCACCGAGTCGACTGGTGGAACAGCGGGCACCGAGTCGTCTGGCAAGACAGTGGGCTCCGAGTCAACAGGCACGACAGTGGGCACCGGGTCATCAGGGTATCGGATTGTCTGGCTCGACAGCGGGCATCGGGTCACCAGGTATGACAGCGGGCACTGGGTCACCAGGCATCAGGTCATTTGGCTTGCCAGTGGGCACCGCGTCATCTGGCAAGGCAGTGGGCACCGGGTCACCAGGTATGACAGCGGGCTCTGAGTCAATTGGCACGACACGACAGCGGGCACTGGATCAGGTACCGGATCATCTGGATCAACAGCGGGCATCAAGTCAACTGGCCTAATAGGATCGTCGGGCCTGGATCAGTTCATCATGCTGAGTAGCGGCATCAGGCTGAATGCAGGCTTCAGGCTGAGTAGAGGCTTCAGGCTGAGTAGAGGCTTCAGGCTGAGGAGAGGCTTCAGGCTGAGGAGAGGCATCCGGCTGAAGAGAGGCATCCGGCTGAAGAGAGGCATCCGGCTGAAGAGAGGCATCCGGCTGAAGAGAGGCTTCAGGCTGAAGAGAGGCTTCAGGCTGAAGAGAGGCATCAGGCTGAGTAGAGGCATCAGGCTGAGTAGAGGCATCAGGCTGAGTAGAGGCTTCAGGCTGAGTAGAGGCTTCAGGCTGAGTAGAGGCTTCAGGCTGAGTAGAGGCTTCAGGCTGAGTCACGGAAGGCAGGTTCACCGGTTTGGATACTGGCAGGATGGTATTGGTTGGAAAGAATTTTCGCTTTTTTCTGGTTTTAACTACTGGAGCACTGCAAGTAAACGCAGGTCTGCAAACGAATGGAGCAGCTGGAGACAGAGAAAAACTGGAGGATGGAACAGGAGAGGGAGCAGTTGCTACAGAGGGCTTTTTTACAGGGTTAAAGGCAGGATAGGTGCAGCAAGTGGGAACAGGGTACTGACATGCGGTAGATAGCCAAGTATACTGGGCTGTAACTGGAGGAGCTGGTGGGAATACAGGAGTAGAGTTAGAAGCAGGACTGGGTTTTTGTAAGCTGACTGAGGCTGGGTGCAACAAGTCTGTCCATGTCTGCAGTATGGGTTGAACAAAGCTGAGCTTACACAAAGCCTGTCTGACCAAAGACTGCACTGCGTTTATACAATCTCTTAGTGTCTGTGGTGAACATGTGGAATAACGCTCCAGAAAGTAACCCACATCATCCTCTAATAACCACACCAGGGACTCTACCTGGTCTGCACTAAATGGTGGCAAAAATTCATCCCTGCATTCGGGGGAACCAGATGAAACCAACTCAGCACAAACCTCAATCAAAGGCTGCACCTCAGAGAACTCTGTGCCCTGATCTACTAGAACATGAGTGAGCCGTATACATTCTAGTAGTTGATCCCTGGGATACTCCTTCAGAGTTTGATAAGCATACTCCCTGTCATCAAACACTAGCAGATATAAATACACAACCTCATCCAGATCCATCCTTCCCTGCAACAAGCCAAGATGGCTTCCCTGTGCAGCCACTTCTGGTCAGGATTGGCCTTGGTGTAATGTCAGGGCTCCCAGGTGTGACCAGAGGTGTGTGGCTGACGCAGGGAAACGCAGACCTCAGATATGTTATAAACAATATAATTTATTAACACTAACAATACAAACATAAACGCAGTGCAATACTAAAACATAATACAGTGCAACCAAACCAAACCAAACCAACCACCCACAGATAACAGTACATACAAGCAAGCGTCGTCAGGCAGGCCGGGTCAATATCAATAGGGCAGGTAGGTACAGGGGGAGCAAGCGGAGATTGGTCGGGGTCACAGGCCAGGTTCAGCAGGTAGCAAGCAGCGTAGTACAGAGGGTCAGGCAGAGGGATGGTCAGGGTCACAAGCCAGGGATCAGAACAGGTAGCAAGCAGTGTGGTACAGAGGGTCAGGCAGAGGGATGGTCAGGAGCGAGCCGGGATCAGAGCAGGAGAAGTCAGCAGCGGTTCAGAAACAGGATACAGGACAGAAACAGGATACAGGGCCCAGGACAAACACAACACCAAGGCAGAGTCTGTGGGTCTGGCCATCCCTTAAATACCCCAGCATAATCAGTTCCAGGTGTTAGCTGGCTGCAAAGTTGAGTCTCTGATTGCTGGGAGCATCCGCTGGCCAGCCCTGGTACTGCAGATCAAAAGGCAGGTGAGTCCCACCATTGCTGGCCAGTCCATTCCTGACAACCCAGATGTTCTTTTACATGGACATTCGTAATAAGCTCTGCATGGTTTGAGATTACCAGGTCAAGCAGAACATCATTCCTAGTAGGGGTCGCTATGAATTGTACCATAAAATTATCCTGTAGTAGGTTTAAACATTTTTGCCCTTTAAATGTTTCTGCAGTACAATTACTTCAGTCAATTTCCGGGTAGTTAAAATTCCCCATTATTATCACTGTCCCAGCCCTTGCAGTACTTTTCGATCTGTGCAAGGAGCGGAGTCTCCACCTCCTCATTAACACTGGGAGGCCTACAACAAACTCCAATGATTACTTTTGTAGTATGCACCTCCATGTGCAGTTCCACCTATAATACTTCAGCCTCATCACACTCTCCATCAACTAGGTCCTCTTTCACACAAGCTCTGAGATCACTTCTCACATAGAGACAGACACCACCACCTTTCCTATTTACTTCTCTGTCTCTCTCCGAAAGAGAACATA